CATCGCTTATCATTTGTTATAAACGAACACGATAGTTCTGTTATCAATTATTTACTAAATTCATATTTGATACTTTTCATATTGAAGTTGCATATCAAAACTCACATCCTTTTCGACAGCATTGTTATTTTTCAGTGCCAATATTTCCCTTTAGATAATATTAAATCTTACTCCCGTCGCGCACTCCCTCGGCCGCTTGCCGTCAGCCTACAATTTGCGCAACGCAACGCCAATCCGCTGATCTGACCGTTGATGGCAGTATGAGTTGATCCCCGTCAGAGATCTAAAGAGTTGCGACATTCCTCTCCTCGGTTTGCGAAAGTCACGTGCTACACACCGTCCATTTTTGTGTCCAAATCTTCCTGATGAACACATGCAAAGTATATGAGTTCGGTATATTACACATATGTTTAATTGTGTGTGTGATGTTATTACTTAATTAATAACTACTTAATATCAAAAGTGTGGTTTAGATTTTATCATTAGAATTCGAATATTTGAGCGTGCTTACACACGCTTGATAATTAAATGCGAATTACATGGAATTACATAGAAATTATAATTGGAATGTTAAACGTTCGTCTATTTTAATCTATGACTAAAAAGACCTGCCTTTCTAGTCAAAAAAGGTATGTTTTGCTCTTCACTTAGGCTACACAATATCAGTTTATATATTGCGGCCAACTGACCTATACTATTTTAATATTTATAAATAATAATAATAATAAAATTAATAATACAAAATTTGTATAGGGCTCGCTTATATTTAATTTTAAAGAACAACAACCTAGATGCCCTATTTACGGATCATTGAAATCACTAAAGTCGGCCAAAAAAATCTAAAAGTAATGAAACTGGCTGTTCAAAATTGGGCTGCCAACACTGATTTTGATAAAGCAGGTTGGAAAAACCTGATGAAAATGATGCGGCCGACTTGACATATAATCTTTTAATATTTATTACTATAAATCTTGTTGTTTCTCTTTGCAAAATTCAAGGAAAAATACTAGGATATTTTGTTTATTATAGTTTTTTCCATAGAAATTAAACATAGATGTAACCGAAATTAATATAAAAGATTAACTAATCTTAATTACATTTACATTTTTGATATTTGGATGCCTATATGAATAGGCTTATCTGATAGTTAATTAATTAATTATTTTTTGCTGGTTATCATATATCATTTATCAAAAATAAAAGGAGCCACTTTAGGGTCTGGCAGGATTGCCTAATTGATAAATACTTCGCCGAGAGGCTCTCCGCCTATCGACAAGGATTAAGTAACTGCTTAAAAATAGTAAATTATTACAGTAGGCCTATATATAATATGAAATTGTATATAAAGTAAAGAAATCATTAAAAAAAATATTTATAAATATACTTACATGAAATTCAACTGCTAAAAAGATTGAATTAAATTAAATTACAGGAGGTTGCTAATTGAATTACACTATACGATATTATACCATACACAGGAACGCCTATTGCGTTGGACACAAAATGGCTTCTAAATTCTCAATGTCGCAACTCTTTTTATCTATGGCTCTGATCCCCGTCAGAGCCTGAAAAAAATATCGTCGCGCGACGTAGCCTCTTAAAGTCGACGAAGTGTACACTGGGTTTTAAATCCTTGTTTGTAAACTGACCATATACACTATACAGTACATATTAACTTTATCCCAATACATATATATATATATATTTTATATATAGCTTAATAGGCAAAATACTGAAAAACAACAATGCTGTGGGAAACAATGTCTGGATCTTGGTATAGTGGTATAGATACAAATTTGATAAGCAACAACAACAAAGTAAAAGTAAGTAAAGATCCAGAAGTAGAACCAGAGCTTTCGGACAACTCTTGTCCTTCCTCAGTATTTATATAGGCTTATACGCANNNACTTTATAACATACCAGGCCATAACATGCCATAATCAAGGGGTACAACACATCGGTAATATCGATAGATGCTTAACATTTGTATAAGACAGTATATAAAAATGTGTGTCATGTTTTCAACAACACGCTTAAGAAAACTATTTACTTAGATACGATAAAACCATAAAATATAAATTCCTTTATCATCTAAGATTTTGTAACCAGGCATGGATCAGTCATTTTCCCTGGTTGTAACTTACGGTGCCGTATGCTAAGGATTCAATAAATTATAAACTACAAACTAGTAATAACCAGGTCGGTGTAAAAGAAAAAAAAATGTAAAAAAAAAAAGTTTATCAGCCAAAGAATAAATATAAAGGATATAATTATATCGTTATAAATTTGAATTGAAGGCTAGTAACTTACTTAAATATAAGTAAGAAATTCAAATGCTTAATTTTATTGTTCAATTGATAAGCTTAATACAGACAGTATATAGTGTATTTTTTTCTGAACTTTCATTCTAAACGTACATTTAGGCAACTGAATATCAGGCTTCCAATATCCATAATACCCTGACGAATAATAATACCGCATGTACTAGATATTTTCGAGCTCTGTGTGTGTTTTTTTTTTTTCAGTGTCCACAAGTTAACATTGTACATTAAATACGTAAATTGGGCATTATTGATTAGTTAATATTTTAAACCCGTTCAACATTCTTGCTGTTTAAAAGTTCGGCTTGATTTCATTTTCTATCATCAAGATATTTTCACAGAAATGTTTTATTTAGCAAACCTATATTTTTAAACGCTAAATAAGTTATGATGTTAGAGACGACCCCTTTTCTTTCTTTTCCTTTTCGTTCAATTTTTTCTGCTTCATCCGGCGGTTTTGAAACCAAATCTTAACTTGTCTTTCGGTAAGAGTCAGGGACTGGGACAGTCGAGCGCGTCGATCACGTGTTAAGTATTGATGCAATTGAAATTCTTTCTCCAATTCGAATATTTGAACTTTTGAGTACGGTCTTCTTTTAGTCCGACGTGGAAATGTGGCGAATGTGAACATCCATCCCGGTGGACCACCGTCTATTGAAAAATAAAAGTAAATAAGTATTGTTATTTTTATTATAATTATCATCATCATCATCATCATCATCATCCTCGTCATCATCATCATCATCATCACCATCATCATCATCATCATCATCATCATCATCACCATCATCATCATCATCATCATCATCATCATCATCATTATTATTATTATTATTATTATTATTATTATTATTATATTAGACTTCGGCTTGTTGAACTTGGTTGGAGCCAGGAAGGAACCAGACATAGAGACGACAAACGCAGTAGTAACAATAACAATTTGCCGCAAACTGGGCCCAATATGGGGGAAAACAAAACACCCCTATAACTTCTATAACTACTTATAACTACTAATCAATAATTAAGTAGGCGGAGTAAAAGGGGTGGAGGTAGGATAAATTTAACCAAAATTTCAGCGAGACTCAGCTCTTGTCTAAACTGGCGCCATATTAATTGTCAGAGAGCGTCTCGTAGCTAGGATACACTCTCTAACCGAAAGGCATGACCTCTGACCAAAACCATCTTACTCCGCCTGTACAGATAGGTATGAGGCGCCTGCGCTAATATAATATTAATTATTAAGCACCAATCCTGTGGTTGTTATAGCGCGTATCTTAAAATAAGCCTGTACGACAGACTGAGTGTACAACAAGGTGTAGCCTATATTATACATGAGTGGCCGATGTCGAGCACTTTCTAAATCAATCAAGATCAATAAAATCAATCACTGTCTCGTACTCCTTGTAATAAAGATATACAACCAATATCTAAATTATAATATTGATCGGCCCATGAGACATTAAACGTTGGTTGTGATTGGCTATGTGATAGTACAACGTCACCAGTGAAAGTACGCTGCACTCCAACAGTGCGAGCCGTGAACTTGATGCATTGAACGACACGTATGACAGACAATACTAGCCAGGCGAAGTTGCGTCCACAAAAAGAAACAGACGACGTCGAATTTAATCGTCCGGACGACAGCCTCAGCGATGCTTTACCCCCTTGAGTGTTTTTCAGTTTTTATTTGAATAATGTTTTTATTTTTTCAGAGGATGGAATGTAATAAATCTGCAATGAAGGATGGTTCACATATCAGTTACATGACGTCTCGTCTGAGAGAGGGCGTAGCCCCGGGTTAGAATGTTCTGTCTTACCCCATTCAAAAAGATATACAGTAGGCTACCTCATCCATTTTCATAATTATTTTTATCTCTACAAAACATGGGTACGTGTGTACGCTATGAAAATTATGTCAACAAAAATATTTTACTACGTGCTCTTTCAGATGGAAGCTTTTCATAGATGATGATGTTTTGTTTCCACTTAACATATATTTAAATATAAATTTACAATAATTATTCATATAGTTTATTTGCATTTTAAGTTGCCTCTGGAATTTTTTCAATCCGCAAGCCTGTGTAAAGATATCAGTATCACCAAAACTCAATAAAGCTGAAAAGTTGTATGCGGGCATTGTGTAAAGAATTATTATCAGTATTAATATCAAATTATACTATCATTATTTTCATTATCATTATTATTACAGTATTACTATTATCAATATTATTATTATGTATTATTATTATTATTATTATTAATATTTATATTATAACAATATAATCATATCAGTATAAATCATATTATACTATCATCATTATTATCATCATCATTATTATTATTACTACTATTATTATTATAATCATTATTATTATTATTATTATTATTATTTTATTATTATTATTATTATTATTATTGTTATTATTAATATTATTATATTGTCATCATTATTATAAATATTTATATTATTATTATATTGTCATCATTGTTATAAATATTTATATAATATAATCTTTAATATTAGTATTATTATTATTATTATTATTATTATTATTATTTTAATTATATCATTATTGTTAAATATCCCACGCTTGAGAATAATAGAAGATAAACGAAAGACATTATAGATCACTGCTAGCGTATTGTAGGTACTGCAGACAGCAGCTATTACAATACTTTCAATTACCGATTGAGATTTATAAATTAACTGAATGATTTGCTAAAATTAATTTCCATTGATATTATATTATTACACTTTTGTTCTGATAACATTCGGATTGCTATCCAAGATCAAATTGTGTGTGTGTGGATTTATCAGCCCACGTAGGGATCATGAATTACTGTTTTGAATAAGCACCGCGACTAAGGTGTTTTTCTAAAATAATTGAAGTCTCAATCCTGACACATTAAACTGATCTCTTGCCGTAACGTACGCGTGTCTAAATACATTTCACAATTCAAGTGTACGTACGCTATGTAAATATTGAACTGAAACAAAAGAGACTTATAATAACGATTGTCACATTAAAGCAGCGATTTAAAATAATTGGATATGTTATTCATTGTCGCTGGTTCATTGTTGCATGTCGCTGTGTCGTCTGAATAGTTTGTTTTTTTGTCATAAAAGAATATTTTTCATATCCAACATTAAGTAGGCCACCACTCGCCAATGGAATAATGCTCTATATACTAAGCATCATTATGTGTATTAGGAGGGTGTTAGTTATAGTATAATAATCTTTAATCCTGACGTCTGAAACAGGTTCTACTGTAGCCCTTTACATCCTATCCGCTGTCACCCGCTCTTTTGTGCCACAAGGCCGGGTGGCATCGTACGGTACCGAATGTGAGAACGAACTCATCAGTAAAAGACCGGGTAGAAATGAACCTAGGTGACGAAAGGCCGAATGGAAAAGGGTTTTGTGGCAACAACAGGCTTAGGATAACGAAATGCTTGGTGGTAAAAGGCTGGATGGCAACAACGGGCCTAGGGTGGTAAAAGTCAGTTCTGGCAAAAGGCCGGTTTGCAAAAAGTATTGCCTCGGTGGCAACGTGCCGCGCGTAGGGTGGCAATGCGCATAGATAACTCGTTTAGCTGTGCTCAACTCAACATTTTATTACAGTACATTGTTTTCTTTTCCAGATTAATACACATAATATTTGACAAGATGCACTTTATCGCCATATTATTTTAAACATGTGAACATTCTTTAGCTGTATGCAGTTATAGTAGTAAAAAATGAAAAAAATCGACAATTAAATATCTATACACATGGGATCGATGAAAGAACTATGAGTTGATAGGTTGAAATCATTGTACGTGAATTCTGAGAGAAGAATGTTACTGTACGGTATTTTGAAACCTATAGATAATTATTTTGAGTAATACCAATATAACCGTAAAAGGAATAATAAATGAAACCAGTGTATGTA